CCCCCCCGGGGTGTTTTGGAAAGTTTGGGGAGATTTTTTTTTTTTTTTTTTTTTTGGTCTTTTTCCGTGTCCGGCAATGGATCGCAACCCTCAGTGTCGCCCCTGGACCGGACCGGGACCGGCAACGGGATCGCAACCCTCGGTGTTGCTCCCGCGCCTCGCTCAGCCAGTGAGTGGGAACCGGTCTGTATGTGGGATCCGAACCCTCGGCGGGAGCGCCGCCGCGCTTCCCAAGCGGCGCACTAGCGCAGTGCACCACCGGGCCGGCCCTCTGGAGACATTTTTGGTTGTCACAACTAGTGGTGAGGTGTCACTGATATCTAGTGGGTAGGGATGCTGCTAAACATACTACAATGTACAGAACAGTCCTCTATGACAAAGAATTATTTGGCCAAAACATCATAGTACCACTGTTGAGAAACCATGTTAATACTACAGCAGGGGTTTATTAAAGTCGATGATACGTTGGCATCACCTGGAGGGATGGTTAAATTAAAACAAATTTCTGGACTCTATTCACAGACTTTCTGATTCAGTAGGTCTGGAATGGGACCCAAACATCTGTATTTCTAACAAGTTCCCAGGTGATGCTGACGCTGCTTGTATGAGGACCATCCTTTAGAAGTTAGTGCTCTACAGTACAGTTTATTTCTTCTAGAATGTCCTGCTTCGATTTTATCAAGAACAAGAGACCTAAGTCCTCAAATAGCTTTTTAAAAGAATGAATAAAATTTCAATAAATAGCTGAGTGTGTAGGCTAAGACGTAAAAGAACTCAGCCTACACACACGGACAGTGGAAAACATTGTTTACAGTTTGCATCTTTAGTAGTGGTGAGCTATATCTTCTCTGTGAGGAGGGTGTGTTAACCCCAAAAACCAACAAGTAAAGGTAAAGTTACCTGATTCCTCATTAAACATATACAATGTTGAATCCTTAATTGTTGCTTTCCAGGTGTTTTTAGGAAGTTTCACTTATTTAGATTTTATTTAGGGCAATAAAATTCCCAGAGGCAGGGACATATAAGTCTATTTGTGTTTTCTTTCTTTTTTTTTTTTGTCCTTTTTGAGACCGGCCGCACCGCGCTCAGCCAGTGAGCGGTGCCAGCACCACACTCTCCCGAGTGTGCCACGGGCTCGGCCCCTATTTGTGTTTTCTAACATCTAGGAATTAGCACAGAGCTCTGCCCATAATAGTAAATGTTTTGATGGACTGGAACATGATATAACATAAGTTTTTGAAATATTTACAATATAGTGATTATCAAACTGTTTCTTTAGCCTAAAACCTGTGGATCACAAAATCTTACATGAAAATGTAAGAAGATTAAAACCAAAAGCTGAGCTGCTATAGCTGATCCTCTGCGTGGGTGAAGCTCTCCATCCCCACCTTTAACCATCCTCCCAAATCAGGGGCTCTGCCCAGTAGAGCTTAAAATCCAATGTTCTAATGTAAAACAAAATTTGAAGAAAAAAAATCTAAACTTAAAAAATATGTAAGGTTTTTTAAAATCAGAGGGCAAGAGCTCAGTTGGATAAGACAATCTGTGCTACCTGACCAGGCAATAATTCAAGCCTCTAAATCTCAAAGATGTGACAAAAGAGTCACTAAGTAGTCAACCTGATCAATGATCACTGTCTCTGATAGGGGATTCTCAGAATTGAAGCACATTTAATGTTGTTTAAAAAATTACTCAACTGGGCCGGCCCGTGGCTCACTTGGGAGAGTGTGGTGCTGATAACACCAAGGCCACGGGTTCAGATCTCTATATAGGGATGGCCATTAGCTCACTGGGAGAGCCTGGTGCTGACAACACCAAGTCACGGGTTAAGATCCCCTTACCGGTCAATGGCCGGTGTGCTCACTGGCTGAGCGTGGTGCAGACCACACTGTGCCGAGGGTTGCGATCCCCTTACTGGTCAAAAAAAAAAAAAACAAAAAAAAACCAGATCCCCTTACTGGTCAACTTTTTAAAAAAATAAATTAATTAATTAAAAATAAAAATTACTCAACTGGGCCGGCCTGTGGCTCACGTGGGAGAGAGTGGTGCTGACAACACCAAGTCAAGGGTTAAGATCCCATTACCGGTCATGTTAAAATTACTCAACTGAAAATATGAAAAAGTTCATTACTTCCTATTGAAATTAAATAACAGGTAAAAAAAAAAAAAAAGCCTAGTCTTAGACTGTATTTATTTATGCATGTCCAATTCCTTTACAATAACTAAGCATCTAATAAAACATGCATATTACAGTAAAATACATTTTAAAATCTCATATAAATCAGGTAACAGAGAAAAATAATTTTTCTACTTATTTATTTCAAAATAGGTCTGAAAACATCTTATTTTCAGTATTTGCACCAGCTGAATAGTAAGAGTCAAAACCAAAATGAATCAGAATGACTAAATGCTAGTAGTTTTTGCTATAATGTTTTTATTTGTTAAAACCTATTTGGGAAACTGATTAGTGTTCCTATCTATGGCAATTGGAATAAGAAGCTAAGAAGATATTTACAACCTCCACAAATCACTGTATTTGCTAAATAATACACAAAATACAATGAGTCAAAGTAATTATTCTGTAAATAGATTAATGACAAGAATGAGGAAAATCAGTCTTACCTTATAGCATAGATACAGCAGTATTAATATCGGTACTGAATATCGCATTATACATATCTATATAAGAAAGACACTATTTAGATTACAAGTATTTTGAACACTTTTTTACCTTATGGTTTTGCTTTGTAAATAAATGACATTTCTTTTTTTTTAAATAACAGAAACATAATGGAGCATGAGTCTCCAATATGTAAAACAACTGAGTTAATGTAAGGGTTCTAATCATTCATAAGGTATTTGGAGCTTCTACCATAATGCCACCTAGTGAATTTATAGGGTAGGACAATTCAAAACTGCATTTACAGGTTATTAAACATTATCATACACTTATTAGTAATTATTTTCAGGAAAATGCGTTATGATAATAACATAATTCTGGATAAGAGGATTATTGGTGATTTTTAATTTCACTTTTTGTGCTTTTTTTTTTAATCTCCAAATTCTATACAGTAAATATATCTAACTTATAGTCTGGGGAAAAATAAAGATTTTTAAAAATAAAATAAATTGGGCCGGCCTGGTGGCGCACTCGGTAGAGCGCGGCGCTTGGGAGCGTGGTGGCGCTCCTGCCGAGGGTTCGGATCCCATATAGAGACCGGTCCGCTCACTGGTTGAGCGCGGTGCGGGAGCGACACCGAGGGTTGCGATCCTGTTGCCGGTCACGAAAAAAGACAAAAAGGAAAAATAATAAAAAATAAAAAAATAAAATAAAATAAAATAAATTAAAAATAAAATTATTTAAAAATAATTCCTTAAAAATCTTAATGTATCAATAATCTATTTTTAGCTTTAAATTTTAGTATTCATTCTGTCTGATTGATGTATAAGCAACTACTGAAAAAAAAAAAGAATTGGTATAAAGGAAAAACTATAAGTCATAAAAATTAAATGGGAAAAGGGACAGCACTGACCCTCTTTGGGTTATAAAGATGGACCAACTTCAGAAGTAACTCCCATATTTCTGGGCTACATAAGCCAAATGATGCAAACACACACATGTGTGATGTCCAGAGGTATTTCATTCTATAAGAACAGAAATAGACAAAAGTCAACAAGTACTAGTGTATAAAACTGGAGTGTGAGATAGGTGTAAAGGCAGCTTCACAGTCTGTGACAGTAAAATCTTACTTAAAACTATGCAGAAACCATCTGCCAAAGGGTTAGTTATTACAGTTTGAGCATTCCTAATCTGAAACGCTCCAAAAGCTGAAATGCTCCAAAATCTGAAACTTTCTGAGTGCCAGTATGATACTCAAAGTAAATGCCCATTTGAGCATTTTGGATTTCAGATATTTGGATTAGAGATGCTCAACTGGTTAAAATATCTGCAATTATTTCAAAATCTGAAAAAATCCAAAATCCGAAACACTTCTGGTCCCAAGCATTTCAGATAAGGGATACTCAACATGTAATTCTATCACCTTTTGAGAACCATCACACATAAGTAAGACATAGAGGAATGTTCATAATTCAGAAAAAAACTGATTATAAATGATATTTTGTACTGAGAGAAGACAGTACATAAGGACAATTTTCTGGGAACCATAATTACTAATGAAGATGACTAGCAATTTCCAAATTATATTGCTAAATAACAAGTAAAGAGCAGTCAAATTAAAAAATAAACAGGCAAGACAAAAATACCTCATTGTACTCAATGCCAAGAATCCAAACAGAATGGTATGTATTAAGTTGTAGGCAGTTTCTGGTTTCAGGTCAACTGTGCAGTTTCCCATTTTACTCCTGGGATTTGTAGAATCACTAAATAAAATAGCAAATATACAAAAGTAAAGTGGGATACAAAATTTTAATTTAGTTAAATCTTTTTTAAAGAAGATATAAGAAATTTACACCTTTATATATTTAGAAATGTATTATTTTCCTGAGATGAAATAAATCAGCAATGATCAACTTTGAATTTGTTTATGAAGCTAAAAGTAACACAATATAAATGCATTAGTAATTAGAATAACTAAAATTTCACAGCAGATTTTAATTTAAGTAAAAATTTAAAGTGCTTCAATTGTTTAAATTAAAATAGTAATCAATCAATAAAAGAGCAAAAAAAATCCTTTTGGAATTAATGAAACTGGCCTTTTAGAAGAGATCTTTAAAGATGTTTTATGGGTTAGTATTGGTACTTTTCAAATTTTTACAAACAAAAAAAGTAAAAATGTATCCATAAACTTGGAATTCAGTTCCTTTACGAAACAGTGATCTCATTTTTAACCTCATTATATATGTCCAACAGATGACTTCTATCAAATTACAGCTACATTAAAATTATTAAACCCAACAAAATTAACATTAATTCCTTAACATCATCTAACACCCAGGTCATATTCCTTTCCCTCTTTGAAGAAATTGTTTTTTCTAGGTGGTTTCTTTGAATCAGAATTCAAAACTTGCATACTGCATTTTATTGATATATCTTTAAAAATATCTTTTGATCTATAAAAGTATCCCTTTCTCTTCCAACCTTTTGGGTTTAGCTTATTATCTCCTTGCGGTAGTGTTTAACACACTTCTCCATTCCCATGTTTCCTGTAAATTTGTAATTAGATCTAGAGGTTTATTAGAGTCAAGTTCATTTTTATTGGCAAGAACACTTCATGGGGATATGATGTACTATATATTGCATTACAGTGGGAAGCACATACTGTCAGGCTGTCCCCACTTCAGTGATATTAAGATTGATGAGTGAGTTCAGATGTTGCACAATTTATTGTGGAGGGGAAAAGAAAACAACAAGGGCTGCCAGATTAAGATAAAAATAATACTTTCACAAAGGCCCTACTGATCCTTCGTACAAATCCAACAGAACTGGATATATATACAATGCTTCTCTATGTATCTAGATAACTTTTATTTCTTTTCACCACTGTAGATTCATAGGAAAATTAAAATGATACTCTAAGGCAGTTTTCACCACTGGTAGTAATCTTGACTTAAATGTTAAATATTACAACACAAACACTGGCTCCTATATTGATACTAAAAGATTACTCCAGACAAGTAGAACATATGCTCTTATCTTCCCTTGATACCTGGCAGAATTCTGCAATACCTCCCCTTACCCCAGCCAAGATGGAAAGCTCTTATTAATCCCATGAATAAAGAATACAGTGCCCTTTTCAGTTGTATCCTTCATACTAATGCAGATATGTTATATAAATGTAACAGTATCATACTTCCTAGTACTAAAAAGGTAGAAATACTTTAAATACTTGGCATTGATAAAACACCCTTCAAATTACTTATAAGTTAATTCATATTAAGATACTATAATTCCTTAATTACTTTAATATAGTACTTTTCCTCTAAAAAGGTCCTAATATCCCTACCTGGTAGATGAGGATGCTCTAAAATCGTTATCTATAATCATATACAAAATCAGCTTCCAGAGATGGCTCACAGATTCACACTGAGCATGGCAGACATTTTCACAAAGATACTGCAGGCCAATTGAACTTCCTGCTTTGTATGCAGTCTGCAGCCCTGCCGACACTTGGTGTGTCTAGAATAATATTAAATTACACAGTCTAGAATAATTTCCATCTATTTTCACAGGGCTAAATTTTATCTTGGGCTAGGTATAAAAAAGAACACTTCTGAAAGATACTAAAATAGTTTATAGTCAGTGAAATATTTTCATGGTTCAATGTTGCTTCATTCTTAATAATCATAAAACACCTCAACTGATCTGTACTCATTTTAATGACAGCTCTCTTGTGGCTGTGAATCACAGTTCACCAGCACCTTAATTGGCAAGGTAACTACATAGAAAAAGGGCTTCCTTGTGAGCTTCATTAAGTTTTCACAAATGACAGTAGCTTCAACTTCTTATACTTAATTTTCTTTCAATTTGACATGCATAGTAACTGCAAAACCCCCCATCAGCTTGATGGGTAGGTATTATACAAGTTTTTTAAAAGACATGCTAAGTTTTTTAAAACTGACAATTATTACTTAAGACTTTCAGTAGGTACTAATAATTATGGTCCACTCCAACTTTATGAGCCCTGAAACAAGATGCAAGAAACAAGTGAACAATAATTAACTCTTGATATTTTGTGAGAAATAAAAAAATTGGGGCCGGCCCCGTGGTGCATTCGGGAGAGTGCGGCATTTGGGAGTGCAGGAGCACTCCCGCCGTGGGTTCGGATCCTATATAGGGATGGCCGGTGCGCTCACTAGCTGAGCGCGGTGCAGACAACACCAAGCCAAGGGTTGCAATCCCCTTACCGGTCACAAAAAAGATAAAAAAAAAAAAAAAAAAAAAAAAAAAAAATTGTAGCTAGAGGAAGAAGGTAGAAAAATACAGGAAACTAATAATGGAAACAAAATACAGACTTATGAGTCAGCAAAAGTAATACAAGCTAATAACAGCAAACATCTACAAACCATTCTAGGCATGAGACACTATTTTAAGTACCTTATGTTGTTTTAACTTAGTTATTCCTCACAAACCCCTATAGAGTAAAAATACTCAGTATTCCCATTGTGCAGAGAAGGAAATAGAAATACAGAAAGATTATATAACTGGTTCAAAGATCTTATCATTCCCAAGTGTGCAAGCCAAGACTTAGACCCAGACCAGTTCGTACTGTGACCACTACTCTTTGCTGTCTTTTAACTACTGAGAATGGAGTGCACTGTAAACTAGGTATGCTTCACCTTTAAGACAAACAACACTACTCTGTTCTGTGTCTGATATTTTGATTTTCAACTTAGCAATTTTTCTGCAACACAGAACAAGTCTGTTAAACTAGAGTGTTAGATTTCTGAAATACACCATACCTGAGATTATGAAAGGCAACAACTAATGCTGCAATCACTGTGATGGAGAGAACAAATATGTAAGCATAAAAAAGCAGAGTATCTGAAAGCCTTTCAAATGTATTAAAAGGCAGGAGGCCAAAAGCTTCTTCACACAGATACAGATTTGCATCAAAATCCCTAGGGAATTGGAAAGAAAAAAAATGGAAAGCAGTATTAAATTCAATACAAGTCAAAGAAACTACATATTTTCCTCAAAACAAGTCTGCAGTTAATAGTTGAAGGCACAATGGTGACTTAAGTTTTAAAGTCCCTGATGATTTAATATAAAATAGCAAACACACATTTTCAGTTCAGTCCTACCTTGTTGCTCCAAACCCAAACTTTGCCTTCAGAAATTTAAATATGTGTTCATCTGACTTCAGGTTAAGAATTTTCTATCAGAAAGAGGGAGAAAACAAAAATCGTTATTAATCCCTTAGGCACGTTTTCCTGAAAATTTCCCACTGAATATGTATATTGAGTGTCCAACTTCAGAGGAGGGTGTGTGTGTGTATAAAATTAGTAAATGTTCACAATAGTTCTTAGAAATGAGGAATTCTAAAGCGGGGGATTTCAAACTCCTTCCTTTTTCTTTCTCCCCCACCCCCTCCCTTTTTTTTAGCACAATACTTTATTCAAACAACAACTTACGCATAAGTTCAATATACGAAATAGATAAAGATGAGCTTTTTTTGGTTTCAGAGAGAGGGAGAAGGCTGAAGCACAGTGAGCACAAATTTTCAGACCAGAAAACCAACAATACCACGATCTGAACCCACAAATAGGTGGCCTGTTTGGCTTTGGGGGTTACATTCCCCTGATACAACTGATGTAAGACTCATTCACTCAAAGACAATTCAGGACAGGAATAATTCTCAAGGAGTGAAAAGACAAATGTCAGTGTTCCTCATTAGTGATCACAATTCTTAAATTTTATCAAATCCATGTAATATAAATGGTGAAGAAGTTATACCAGAAGAAAAATGTAGGAAAAAAAAAAAAAAAGATGGAGCCAGAATTGAGGTTAGTACACAAAATACATTCATTAGAGATGAGCCACAAGTCTGGTACACATTCTAGCAGCGAATGCAAAGAGGAAGATACAAAGCAGTTATGTTACTTACAGGGTCACAAGATTAAAACAAACCAGTTGTTCAGAAGAGATTCTAAAGTCCTAGAACTGAGACTTGAGAGAAATTTTTCCCATGGGTACACTAAAAATAGCAGTGAGTTTTTTGGACTATTTTTTCTAATTCCTTTCATTGTAGGTAGCTGGCAAAACAAGTGCAATTCAATAGATGTTATTCTTTGGGGAGTCAAAAAACAGTGTGTCCAGGCATATAGCTCTCCACTGGTTTAATCTAAGAACAGATCACTGAATATGTAGAGTGGGCCAATGAATGAACTGCATATCTTTAGCCAATCTCCCAGAAATGCTCGATTGTTCCATTCAAATAAGCTCTCGATAAGTACTGAGCTATATGGAGTTTAAGAACACGGTGACAAGGACCTGAAGTGAGGTGTTTAATGTGGCTGGCTGAGAGAAGAGTCATTTTCTTTGACATTCAACAGACAGGAAAGGACTGCCATTATTTTATGGAGGAGGAGGAGCCTGTTTCACAGATATTGCCTATCCCAAGATTGGCCTTCTAGTAGGGGCAAAATCATCTGAAGAAATCATTGTAGTTTTGCTCTAGCATAAAAAAAGGAACATCAAGGTCCAAGAACAATACTCTTAAGTAAAGCCTGCCCTTAAAAAGAAAAAAAAGCCAGTGAAAATTTTAAAAAGCATGTTTAACTAAGCAGCCCCCTAGGGCACTTAAATCTTAGCAAAGCATCTACTGGACATATAACAAATGGATGCCTATGTTACTAAATGAGTTATTCTGCTGTATACGGTTGTTAATTTTAGGTCAGTTAAATGTTGGAGAATATCTATCAAAAACGAGTTCAACCCTTCTCTCTAGCAGAAATTAGATAGTAATGCCAGTTTATCCATTAACTGAACACAATAAAAATTATGTCATTTTTTTTTAGTAACCACAGTGTAGAGGACTATCTCTAAAGAGTAGAATTTTTTAAATTTAGAAAAATATTTGTTCAAGGTTTTTAAAGTTGAGCTTTTAAAAAATGTAATAAAAGGTGAATTCGAGTTAGAACATGTAAAAGAATGAAAAAAAAATCACCAAAATAAGCCTTATTAAAAATTAAAACTAAGCCAGTTTAAAGTAAAACTGGTTATTCTTCAGTAATAAAACAAGAATTTAATTATTTGAAATTGAAAGTTTTAATAATTATCTCCAGTGCCATAAGTAAATTCAAAGATATATTGCATATGTCATTTTATTAACTTACCTTAATAATGTTGTTGAAAAAAAGTGTCAAACATAAAACCACAAATAAATGTAACAAAAGTTTCCCAAGTCTATTAAGGAAGCTTCCAGTTTTCAGATTTTTCTAGAAATTAAAAGAGCTGTGTTTTAATTCTTAAATTTTAATAAAACTTTGTAATCACTTTAGATGAGATTACCCAAAGATTTAAAATATTAGATCACACAACACATAGGGAAAAATCTATGTGGAAAACATAACCTATTAAACTTCATAAGGTTACACTGTCCTAATATTTGTAATTTTCCAATAGTAAATAAATTCCTTAAATAATAAGCTCCATAAGATGAAGAAACATGCCCTAGTCTTTTTCTTCCTTCTTCTTCTTCTTCTTCTTTTTTTTGGTAGCCGGCCGGTACAGGGATCAAACCCTGGACCTTGGTGTTATCAGCACCACGCTCTAACCAACTGTGAACCAGCCATTCCTCTTCTTCTCTTAGACCTTAGCAACCAGTTTCTTTTTTTAAGAAACTGTTTGGATCAGACTGTTAGGATCTGCTACTTGGAATCTACTCAGGATATGATGAGTGAACAAATCATTACATCATTTATCCATCAATTCATAAATCACTGAATAGCTATAACCCAATTAGATAAAAAAAACCTATCAGTATAAAAAAAAGTAAACTGTGCTCTTTGATGTATAATAGCGTTCTTATAATCTTCAGATAACTTTATACATTGTCAAATATAATAATATCTAAACAGTTCAAATATGAATAATATTTATTTATAATTAAGGTTAAGAGGATAAATGAGAACTACTCTTTTTGATAGTCAAGTAAAAGTCTGTTTTAAAAAAATCTTTTTATAGAACTGGGGTTGCCAGAGGTGGGAAAGGGAAAGGTGGGGAAAGGGAGGAATTGGTAGAGGGCCATGAAAAATGATTACATTCAGGCTTCATTACAATTTTAAGGAAAAACAAATGACTCTTAAATCTCATGTAAATTTAAGAAAGTTAATTATATAATAAAGCCCAAAGATCAGGTCAGAGGCCAGCCCGTGGCTCACTCGGTAGAGTGCGGTGCTGATAACACCAAGGCCACGGGTTCGGATCCTATATAGGGATGGCCGGTTTGCTCACTGGCTGAGCGTGGTGCTGACAAAGATCAGGTCAGTGTTTTCAAACATGATTTTACAATACCGTAGGAAATGTCCCATTATTGCTAAAGGTATTTACTTGGAATCTCAAAATTCTCAAAAGAGAGTTTAATTCACTGAAAAATCAATAATATGGTACAGAAGAATGGGGAAAAGAGTTGAGTTACTACATCAAACGACAAGGTCAACTTGAAAGGCTTTGATGAACACACTCTCAACAAGCAAGAAGTTCTTCTCATTCTTGAGTTCACATACATAAAGAAGTTAAAAATTCTTCTCTTTTATTTCAACTTTAAGTCAATGGCATTCAACTAAGCACCTCTGCCTAATTCCTGAATTGAATGAAAGTTCCAATTATCTAAGAAATAATAATTGTCAAAAACAAAACAAAAACAAAACAGGGATGGCATAAGACTTCAGAAAGCTTGAAACAGAAATGTTACCACATGCACTTAAAAAGCAAATGATTCAACTTGTGCTTTCTAGTGGGAATCAGATCATCAATTTTCCTTTGTATGCTGTATAAAAATAAGGTCCAACAAACCACACGATTTAAAAAAAAGTTTACTTTGATTAGGGACAAAAAAAGACCTACCTGAAGTTTTCTTGCAATTAACACTGAAAGGTTAAAACTGATAAGCAATGATCCAAGAATCATGGAATTAAAAAACTGAAGAATGCAGACCAGGAGTAAACCTGTTATCTGTATACCATATAGCCATGTCGCCTGCAACAACCAAAGATTAGCTGGTTAAACAGATTTTATCAAGAAACCATCAGATGCTAACATCTTGGCCACTAGTTGGATACATCTCAGGTTACAAACTATGCAGAAAACATACCTAGCTTCAAGAAACACAATCTAAAAAAGGAAACTTAATCATATACACACCAACTGTTTATTTACTAACACAAAACTTTTAAAATTTTATAGCATTAACTAATGGGGAAATGAACAGGGATAATATAAAGTGGAGGAAGCCACAGTGTAAATGTATTCTGGGAACTGGCAAGTACCATTAGTAATCTTCATTTTTCTTCTAAGTTCTTTTATAGTTACTGTCTACAGCCAATAGTCAGTACTTTACTGCATTCCATTATTTCCTAATTTTCCATACTATACAGTTTAGGACTGTATCATATATTGCTACATTTTGTCTGTCTGTGTGTGTGCCTAAATCTCCTGATTACACTGAAAACTCCTCCTGCATCAAGGCTTGAACCCAACAGAGTACAGTGGTCAAGAACATGCGCCCTGACATCAACACCACCTGTACTGTAGTCCTAACTCTGGTCTAAACCAGCTGTGTGACCTTAAAATGCCAGAGATGGCTCATCTTTACAAGAGAGATGATTATACTTTCTTCACAGAGTTGGTGTAAGGGTCTGATAGAAGGACTGAATGTGGTAATATATTAATGCCTGGCACGTAATAAGCACTCACTAAGGATAACTCGATGTAATAAAAAATGTTGACAGGTTGATACCAAAAGAAGCAAAATGCAACCAACTTGAACACAAAAAACGTGCCACAAAGAAAAAGACAGCCCCTAAGAAAGAGCTGATATTTTTTGTTAATTTTCCTCTTCTCTTTCAAATCAGACAATTCAAAATTCATATTGGCATATGAGAAGCACCAGTTTTATTCAGCAGCAAATCTGATTTTCCCTATGGTTTTGTTCTCACTTCAAAGGAAACAAACCTACACCAAGCAATGAAAAGTGAGAGCAAGGCCTGCAACAGTTCAGAGCTTTTGCTTGGTGTTAATGGAAATCCAGGAAAATGGATGCAAACAGTTTTTAGGATTATAAAAATAACGTACCTTACTATAGGAGATTTAGAAAATTCAGAAAAACAACAAAAAAAGAGTAACTGATAGAAAGGTGGGCTCTAGAGTCAAAAGTCAACACTACTACCTATAGAAATGATATTGATTCCACAGCAATGTACAGATAGCATTTTGTATACTTCACATTATATGGTATAATTTTCTCACATCAATGACTATTCTGTGAAAATTTAAATTTTAAATGGCTACATAACATTCCACCATATGCCATAATTTGTCTGCTACTGGATCATTTGGGTGTTTTCAGCTTTTTATTATTATTAAATTAATGTTGTTATGAACATCTCTTTTAAAAAAATCTTCAGATCATTATATCTGATTAGTTATTTTGTTCATTGCTGTATCCCAGCACCTAAAAGAATGCCCAGTAGAACCATGTCACTCAATAAATATCACAGGAATGAATTAAAGCATTTCCTTAGGACAGATTCCTAAAAGTAGAAGTACTGGTTAAGAGAATTTTAACAGCTTTATTAAGATATAATTCATACACCTTCAAATTCACCTATTTAAAGTATACAATTCATAGCCTGACAGCCAGCCCTGCAACTGCAGGCAGCAGCACTCCCTACCACTGCTATGGACACCAGTGCTGAACAAGCGGTCTGAGACAGCCCCCCTTCACAGCAACTGCCAATGCCAGGGTGGCTCGCTGCCACAACAGCTGCCACCACTGCCTCACAGGCAGCCTGTTGACCGTTTGTCAGCATAGACAGAAGAGTTGCCAGTGGAACCCAGGGAAAGAGGTGAATACATGCAGACCTGTGACCTAGTGGTCCAACTCACAGGAAGATTTATGCTGTCATAAGTGGCAGCACATTTGGGGATGAGAGGTAAATGCACAGCCCACGGGACTGCCTTCATCTGGGGAGAGAAACATGCAGAACTCCCCAAGGGTACAGACACCTAGGATACCCAAATAGAATACGGAAGAAAATTCCCAATCACCAACAACATCCCCCAACTGGGGGAAAGCATGGTCCCAGAAGGAACTTCTGGCCTGTAGGAAAGATGAAAGAGAAAACCTGCCCAGGGTCATTCATTCAAACTGAGGAGCACCAGTATACCTGAGTGCACCCACCAGGGTCAGGGGGAGCTAGCTGGGGTGCCAACAGGCCTGCCCAAGGTCACCCACCATAGCCAAAGAGTGACAGGGAACCAAGGCACTTCCCCCAAGAATTCAAGAGCTCACCCACTTCCTGGCACACCAACATAGTATCACCAGTCTCAGCAAGGAATTACTAAGTGCCCCAGGGACTAGGCCACGGAGGCACTCCCATGTAGTTCTAACACTGAATTTGGCTGAAGTACCCATGCAGAGACTACACTACTGTGTTTACCTGGAACCAATACTAAAACACCCCACACAATGGTCATTACAAAACACATTTACAAGAGGAACTCCATCTCTTCATAGCCAACTCCAGAGAATTAGAAAAAGCTACTGCTCTTCCAGGTGACTAGACACCAACATAGAGATATAAGAAATATGAAAAAAAAAAAAAAGGAAATATGACACCACCAAAGGAATATGATAACTCTCAAGTACCAAACCGTATTAGGCAGAAGTCCTCAAAATGACTGAAAAGTAATACTGAGCAACAATCTTAAGGTAACTCAATGAGATACAAGAAGGCTCACTTAGATGACACAACGAAATGTGAAAAAGTATCCAGGATCTGAAGGAGGAAATGTACAAAGAGATTAATGCATTAAAAAGGAACGTAGCAGAGTTCCTGGAGCTGAAGGATTCATTCAATGAGATAAAAACCACAACTGAGAGCTTAGGCAGCAGACTAGAGCAAGCAGAAGAAAGAATTTCTGATCCTAAAGGTAGTCTATGAAATAACCCAGGTGGACAAAAAAAAAAAAAAAAAAAAAAAAAAAAAAAAAAAAAAAAAAAAAATTTTTTAAAAAAAAATCTAAGAGAGCTAGCAGATAACCTGAAGCACACAAATATCTGAATCATGGATGATCCAGAAGGGGAGGAGAAAGGAAAAGGCACTGAAAACATATTCAATGAAATAACAGCAGAAAACTTCCCAGGTATACAGGGAGAAATACAGACCTTCAGATTCAGGAGGCTCAAAGATCCCCAAACACATACAATCCAAAAAGGTCCTCTCTGAGACATACTATAGTCAAATTAGCAAAGCTCAAAGATGAAGAGAGAACCCTAAAAGCAGCAAGGGAAAAGCATCAAGTCACCTATAAGGAAGCCCCCATCAGACTAACAGCAGACTTCTCATCAGAAACCCTAAAGGCCAGAAGATAATGGAATGATATATTCAAAATACTAAAAGAAAAAAACTGCCAGCCAAGAATACTATACCCAGCAAAGCTATCCTTTAGAAATGAGAGAGAAATAGTATATTTCCCAGACAGACAAAAACTATAGGAGTTCACCACCACACGACCAGCCCTACAAGAAATCCTCAAGGGAGTACTGAATCTGGAATCCAAAAAACAATAATCATTAGCATGACTACACAAGAAAGAAAAAAACTAGTAGAACAAAAATGCAAACAATAAAGAAAGAAACTTTATCTAACCACCTAAAAAAACCAACAAACATGGAACACAAAAAATAAAAGGGGAAGAAAGGAACAAAAGATACTTTAAAAGATACTTAAAACATCCAAATGAAAATTGATAAAATGCTAGGAGTAAGTCAACACCTTTCAATAATAATCCTTAATATAAATGGATTAAATTCCCCACTCAAAAGACACAGACTGACTGACTGGATTAAAAAGCTAGACCCAAGTATATCCTGTCTTCAAGAGACTCACCTCACCTGTAAAGACACATACAGACTGAGTGAAAGGATAGAAAAAGATATACCATGCAAATGGAAACCAAAAATGAGCAGGAGTAGCTATTCTTACATCATATAAAATAGACTTTAAACCAAAAACCACAGAAAGACCCAAAGGAGGCCACTATATGATAAAGGGATCTATCCAGCAAGAAGACATAACAATCATAAATATATATGCACCCAACATTGGAGAACCCTTATATATAAAGCAAACATTATTAGACCTATAGAAAGAGATAAATCCAAATACGATGATAGTTGTGAACCTAACACCCTCCTCTCAACACTGGACAGATCATCGAGGCAAAAAAACAACACAGAAACACAGGATTTAAACCACACTAGACTGATTGGACTTGGCAAGCATCTACAGAACATTTCATCCAACAACCGCAGAATATACATTTTTCTCATCAGCACATGAAACATTCTCCAGGACAGATCACATGTTAGGTCACAAATAAAGCCTCAATAAATTTTAAAAAACTGAAATTATTTCAAGTATCTTTTCAGATCACAACAGATTAAAACTAGAAATCAATAACAAGTGAATCACTAGAAACTATACAAACACATGGAATTTAACATGTTCCTGAATGAAATATAGGTTCAAGAAGAAATTAAACAGGAAATTAAAAAGTTTCTTGAAACTAATGAAAATAAAGACACATACTAAAACCTGTGGGATACTGCAAAAACAGTACTAAGAGGGTTTATTGCAATAAACACATCAAAAGAAGAGAAAGATTGCAAATAAACAACCTAATGCTACACCTCAAAGAACTAGAAAGAAAGAACAATCCAATCCCAAAGTTAGTAGACAGAAAGAAATAATTAAGATCAGATCAGAAGTAAATGAAATAGAACCCCCCCCAAAATACAAAAGATCAATGAAACAAAAAGATTTTTCAAGATAAACAAAAAAGACCACCATTAGCTAGGCTAACCAAAAAAGAAGACTCAAATAACAAAAATTAAAAATGAAAAAGGAGACATTACAACTGATACCACAGAAATACAAAGAATCATTAGAGACTATTAAAAAAAATAAAAGGTATAATGCATGATATTCATAGAGTTGTACACCTATCACCACAGTCTAATTTTAAGATATTCTCATCACTTCAAAAGAAACCCCATACCTATTAGCTGTCACTCTCTATTATCTTCCCCCGCGTCCCAGCCCCTGGCAGCCACTAATGTACTGTCTCTAGGGGTTTGCATATTCTGGACATTTCATATAAATGGAATAATACAATATGTAGTTTTTTGTGACTGGCTTCTTTTATTCAGCACTACATTTTCGAGTTTCATCCATGTTATAGCATTTATCAGTACTTCATTCTTTTTTATTGTTGAATACTATTTGTTATATGGACTACATTTTGTATTTGTTATTCATCAGTTAATGGGCATTTGAGTGTTTTCCTCTTTCTGGCTATGAATCACACTGTTATGAACATTCATATACAAATTTTTGTGTTGGCTATATGGTTTCATTTCTCTTGGGTATATATGTGGGAGTGAAATTGCTGTATCATATGATAACCCTATGTTTAAAATCTGAGGAAATGTTAACTGTTTTCCAAAGTGACTACACCATTTTATAATCCCAGCAGCAATGTACGAGAGTTCCAATTTCTACAACTCCTTGTCAACATCTGTCATTATCTTTTTTTTTTTTTTTTTAATTTTAGATATCCAAGTGGGTAATAAAGTGGTATCTCATTGTGGTTTTAATTTGCATTTCTTTGATAGCTAATGATGTTGAGCATATTTTCATGTGTTGGAATATTTATATATCATATTTAGAAAAACATCTATCCAAGTCCTTTGCCCATATTTCATTGTTGAAAGAGTTGTAAGAGTTCTTTATATATTCTGGAATTCCCTTATCAAATATATGATTTGCAAATATTCTCTCCCATTCTATGTGCTGTTTTTTTCACTTTCTTGATGGTATACTTTGAAGAACAAAGTTTTAAATCTTGATGAAATCCAATTAATCTATTTTTTTTAGTCACTTGTGTTTTTGGTATTGTACCTAAGACGACAAGTACTACTCCAAGGTCATGAAAGTTATTCCTATGTTTTCTTAAAAAGTTCTGTAGTTTTAGTTTTTACGCTAAATGGGTCTGAAATACTTTGAGTTAATGTATACAGTGAGAGGAAGGTAGTCCAACTTAATTCTTTTGCATGTGGATATTCAGTTATTCTGGCACTATTTCTTGAAAAAACTATTCTTTCTTCATTTAATTATTTTGGCACCCTCCTTGAAAATCAATTGACTTTCTGGTGAGGATTTATTTCTGGTCTTTCAATTTTATTCCGTTAACTTATGTCTATTTTTCTGCCAGTACCACGCTGCCTTAATTGCTGTAGCTTTTTGGTAAATTTTTAAATCAGAAAATGTGTCTTCCAACTTTGTTTTGACTATCGTGGGTCCCTTGAGTTTCCACAGGAATTTCAGGATCAGCTTGTCAATTTCTGCAAAAAATCCATCTGGTATTCTGAAAGCAACTGTGTTGAATCTGTAGATCAATTTGGGGAGTAGTGCCATCTTAACAATAGTAAGTCTTCCAATTCATTAACATGGGATTTCTTCCCAATTTATTTAGGTCTTTAAAACTTTCAACAATGTTTTGTAGTTTTCAGAGTACAAGTTTGCACTTTGTAAAACTTATAACTAAGTATTTTATTCTTTTTGATGCTATTTCTTTGAAGAAGTGTTTGTGTCCTTTGTTCCCTCTTCTCATTAATTTGCAGATGTTTTTCTCACTGATTTGCAGAAACTCTTTAAGGACATATTAGAGATAAGTGATTCTAATTTATAAACAATCTAAGGCTCAGAGAAGTTAAATGACTTGCCAAAGTTTAAAGAGCTATTTTCAGAGCAGATAGTAGCAACTTGGTTTTACAACTCAGGGTCCTTTCATTACAATAATGTTTCTCCTTAAAATCTGATACTTTACTTCTAACATCAACATAGTTTCAAATACAAAAGTTTTACAAAGTTTAGAACTATATATAAAATATACTTGCTGTATTATTTTAAAATTTTGTGTGTATATGCCAAAATGATACCTTTTATTCTGTTTTCTAATTTTAAAAGAAGAAATCCATGTTCATTACAGGAAAAATTCAAAAGATCTAAAGAACAAAAAGAATATACAGAACAATCACACAGCTGACTACTAATATTTTAATGTATATTTTTCCCAAACCTTTTCTCATTTTCTCTCTATATATTTCACTTTATAAAAAAGGGGGCAGGGAAAACTAATGGTTATAAAATACTCTGTTACAAAGACACACCATAATTTATTTAATTGTACCCTATTACTATTGACTTAAGTCTAATTCCAGCTTTTCCTTACAACTAAAATGAATATAGTTGATTATTTACTTAGAATAAATGTACAGAGGTAGAAGTATTGGTGAAAGGGCAAACACAGTTTTACACTTTTGATACCTACTGTGAAACTTCACTATAGAAAGGCTATAAGGAATTTATATTTTACTGGCAGTGTGTGAGTAACCACTGCTTCACACCTGCAGAAACACTAAATATTACATTTATACTTATATACATGTACACAAACTTTATCTACTTGCTTTCCTTACTGTATTTTACCTTCCTATTCTGCCCCTTCACACTCCACCTAAATACTACCTACTCAATACTACCTACTCACGTCATTATTTGTGGCCCAGCTCTAGCCTCTCACTTCTGTGAAACCTTTTATGTCTAAAAAACCCTTTTCTTCTTCTAATCTTCTAGCACTTATTATTACTACAAATCGACATCTATCATTTCTCTAGTTGTTCTAGTTGTCTACATCTTTATTTCCCAAGCTGGATAGTGAATTCCCTGTGGACAGGCTAATGTCTTATGCATGTTGGTATTTTCTGTAGTGCCCACCTTATTATAGTGGCTCAACAGATAGGAAATGTATATTTGTTGGTTGACTTTAATGTTTCTTTATTCAGACTCAGTCAGTTTCCAAAGCTTACTGCATCTCTTTTGATATGGAATAAATGAGTGCAGCTCTTCCATACTGGGATACATTGCTGCCTTAGGTCTGAAAATAATATTTCATTATACTTGGAAAATAATTAAGTTACTGATACTTTAGAACAGTAACTGTGAGCAATTTAAAAAATGTACATAATACATATTTCTGCCCATGAAAGAAAACACACGATTAAATGACAGACGCACACACTGGGAGACAGATATGAGGTTTCTTATAATTATCTTACGTGACCTTTGGCCAGTCAACAGCGATTCTCATCCCATGTTGGCTAAATGCTACTATAAAAATTTTATAAAGTGCTACAGAAAAGTTGTTACTTATGCACTGAGTGCCTTGAAAAAAAGGCAACACATAGCAAGAAATTTTAAAAGAACTATCTTATATTTAAAATTTTAAGTCATCTCTATAAATGATAATTCACCCAGGCATTTATGCCCCAAATAAATCCATTTTTTAACTTAAGATAAGCAGTATAAAAGTTAAGATGTTGAAACTGGGTGTATAAATTACTCAGCTTCAATTGACCACAGCATGTTTACATTCAATCTAAGAAGGAGCTTCAGCTTTATCATTAAGCACTTGCATATTATCACCTTACTGTATGGTATAAAACACTAAACAAGAAAATCTCAAATGAAAAAAGAAAGCAAAGCTTACCTTCACTGCCGGCAGCATGTCCAAGGAGTCCAGTATGAACAGCACTAATGCTTGCATCAGCATCATAAATTGATTAAATTGCCATGTCAGACTAAAGAGAAAAGTTGATATGAAAATGGCAAGAAGTGTCAGCCTCTGTAAAAAGAAAACTTTTGTATAATTTAGATGTTTCTAGTAATAATAAACCTAGCAGACAAGTTTTCTCAAGAGCAGCCAGGATTTCTATAAACAAACAGAAAAACCACAAACTGCTGCTCTAAAAACCCTTGCATTTGTTATTTAAGCTCTAAATATCATAAAGTGACACTTTGCGTATAAATATTCACATATAGTATGAGTATCCCACATTATATGGAGGTGCTAATGTACTCCATATCAAGAGCAATGGCTTAAAATTCTGACAGTTTCACAAAAGTTGTGAGTGGGTTTGCTACAACTATCTGAGGGTAGATTATGTAGAGCACATTTTTAACATCAAAAATGAAAACATTTTCTTTGCAAAGTAGAAAGAAGCCCAGGAAAAGAAAACTTAATTTAACTCGAGTTAAAAAATTGGTCATGGAATAACAACTATTCACATACACTGGGACATTAAGCACATCACATTTCTTGAAGCATCTTATATAAAATTGGGGAATTAAGAAATATATGAAGTTTTATAAAAACTTACTTCACAAAGAGGCTGTAAGTTTGGTCTCAGGAAATATGTAATTGCTGCTATCTGAATTGCAAAGAATGGCAGCGCCCAGTTCTCCCTCAGTGGGATGGTAAACTCAACTCTTGTGGTATCTATTCTGTATAGAAGAAAACATAAATGGCTATAGTGATAATGTTTATAATAATTTCTTCAAAGATTTCCTAAAGTGAAAGATATATTAAGCACAAGTATACTTAGCTTCTGGTCACTGGTTCTCAATAATAATAACTGTCCTTATCATCATCATCCCCATAACATAAAATTGGCATTAAGAAAATTTAAGTGATCTGTCCACGGGTATGCATTTAGCTAAGTGGTACAACTATGGTGAAGCCCATGTTAGCCTGATTCTTAAACCCATGAATGTACCATGCAAACTCCTCTCACTTTTACTCTGTTTCTTTAGTACTTTATACTTAAGTCTAGCTTCTTGCCTCTGTAGAATGTGGACCCCTGGAGGGCAAGTACAGCTAAGTTTTCATCACTCAATAAATGATATATACACATATGTGTGTGTGTGCGTACACATACGTATGAGGGTACTTCAAAAAGTTCATGGAAAAATGAAATTAAAAAGATAATACTAACCTTTCCATGAACTTTTTGAAGACTCCTTGTATATATACATAAAACTTAACATTTTAAGCCTCAATATCTTCATCTCTAAAATGGGGATAACAATAGTACCTTCTCTATAGGATTGTTAAATAAATACATATAAAGCATTTTGCAAAGTGCTTGGCATACGGTAAGCACCCAACAGATTTATAAGAAAAAGTAATTTGCTTAGGATTGCAAAATAATATCTGTTTTAGAACTCATGTTCAAGTTTCAAGATTCCTACTGAATATTGGTGTTGCTACTGTAGATCAGGCAATAATTCAGTAAATCTTGTTATTTAAAAATGTTAGTTTACAGGGCTCCAGTGTTTATAAATTAATAGATATTAATTAAATGATGTAAGAACTTCTTGCATTTGTACAATGCTTTATGCATTGCTAATTGAGAGCTACACACAACCCCATGAAGACTGCTAGTGAAGATATTACTAAAACTCCTTAAGAGATAAGATATGTGGCTGAAGAAATACTGATCACACAGCAAATGGGTAACAGAATTGGGATTATTATGAATGATTTTCTTGATCTGCAATTCAATGTTTTGTTCCTCAGCCAAAAATATATGTAACTAGGACTTTCTAACTCACTAAATAAGAAACATTTAGAAAACCACTAGGCAAGTCAAAGAGAAAATCTCCCACCCAAATGTGGCAGAAGATATTTCTCTGAACTGGAAATGAAGTAACTTCATTTTTACTTACAGTTTGGAAAGGGAGAGAGGCATACTAATTCCAACTCACCTATTTGTGACATACCAGAAAGCTGCTAATAGTCCTGATAGCCATGTACCACTAAGGAGCCAGCTGGTTATATAAAGAGCTGTGACATAGACTGCTTGAAGCCCAAATAAGGTGTAAATATAAAAATAAACTGGCTCTAAATATTTCTGCAAAAGGAAATAATAAAAAATATTTGTCAAAAAAGCCCTAACACTCCTCGTTGCTATTTAAAAAATATGACAATAGAAATATAATATTCAGAAGCTTGCTGCTAATTCCCACAGTAAGCCTTTCTTCTCTCTACTAAGAGAAGAGGGAAGTCCCTGAAGGTTCTGGTTTCATTCTTTAATCTAGACAAGTTTTACACCTAACTTTGTTCAATTTTACCTCATTCAAATGAGGGTGATTTGCTAATTATATAAATTTTTAATCTCAAAAATAAATGAGTAATTACATGTTTCCAAATGAAAATATTTATCAGCATCTAGACTGTACATGTACACTAAAATATAAGCCAGGAAGCACCTCTATATAAAAATCTTACATCTTATAAAATTTAAATTAAAAAAGCAATATCTTATAAAGTATAAATAAAAATCAAAGTTCACAATATACATGGAGAAAATTAAGATATCATTGATTTTCTACCAAATCAGTTGAAGATCAGAAACCTTCAACCTTCAGTATGTGAAACCTTCAACCCAAATGGCAGATTTTGACTTTCATCTGATATTAACAATTCACGATCACAGAACACAACGTACCTGTATAGGTAGAACTCTATATAAAATACTGAGAAAGACCTCTTGGTAAATATTCATTCGTTGAAGGAGGTTAATTGTCCGCATAGACTCAGTTTTATTATCATATATTAAGCCATGAAAACCTAAGATTAATATTTGAAAAACCAGGAAAAAAATAATTACACTCAAAATCATTCATTCATTCAAAACTATTCATAAAGTCTTTGGTATGTGTCAGGGACTGTGGTAGCCATTGGAGATATAATGATAAGCAAAAAAACATAGTCCTACCCTCAAAGAGCTTACCACGTATTAGAAGGACATTATTTAAACATTTACACAACTTTTGTAAATGGAACAACAAAAACCCCACAAGGTTCTTCTATAGAAATTTGGGCAAGAGGATTTTACATTTTGCCCCCAACCTGCTCTCCTTCCACTTGACCTGCGCTACACCTCTTTCGGGAGAGTATACATGAGTATACATGGCCTTTCCTACTCCGTGGGATTGGTTTGGCCATTTGACTTGCTCTGACCAGTGGCATGTGACTGAATGTGACATGCCAAATCTGAGCAGAGTCTCTAAGAGACAATGCATGTTTCCACCAGTTCTTGCTCTTTCCCTCTGTCATGACACTGATGTGTTCCAAATAGGGGCTGGAATGAGAGGACATGTGGGGCAGATCTGCTGCTGCTTTACGGCAGACATGTAATGACAGTGAGAAATAAATCTGTTGTTATAGAAATCCATTGCTTGGGCCGACCCTGTGGCTCACTCGGGAGAGTGTGGCGCTGGGAGCGCAGAGGCCGCAGGTTCGGATCCTATATAGGGATGGCTGGTGCACTCACTGGCTGAGCGCGGTGCAGGCGACACCAAGCCGAGGGTTGCAATCCCCTTACCAGTCACCAAAAAAAAAAAAAAAAAAAAAAAAAAAGAAATCCATTGCTATATTGAGGCCACTTGTTACTGTAGCCAAGCTAATTAACACAAGGTATGAATGGATAGTTAACCAAAGAAAACATGCACACAGTCCTTATACATATGAAAAGATGCTCCACCTTGCTCCTACTAAAAGAAGTACAAATAAAAACCAGCCTGAGATATTATTTTTCACCTATCAGCTTGATAAAAATCAAGAAGTTTGACAATATGCTCTGTTTGCAAGGTTATTAGGAAGTAGATTCTCATACACTGCAGCTGGAAATGCAAAAATGGTACCATGTCTGGAGAAGAATTTTGCAATACCCAGCAAAATTACATATGCATTTACCCTTTGACCTGGAAAGCTCATATCTAGGAATTGATCCCAAAGGCAGACTGGCAAAATACAAAATGATATAGGCATAAAGTCATTCATGAAGCACCATTTTTAATAGTAGAAGATCAGTTACAACCCAAATGTCCATCAATACGAGGTGTTGTGGACGAAACTGTATCCTCTTCAAATTCGTATTTTGAAGCCCTAAACCCCAGTGGGACTGTATTTTGGAGACAGGGCCTATAAGGAGGTAATAAAGGTTAACTGAGGTCATAAGACTGGGGTCTTAATTTGATAGGACTGGTATCCTTATAAGAGGAATGGACAAGAGCCTGTGCTCCTGCTCTCTCTTTCTGTCTTTGCAACTACACAGAGGAAAGCCCATGTGAGAACACAGCAAGAAGGGTAACATCTACAAGCCAGAAAGAGAGGCCTCACTAGAAACCAACTCTAATGAGGTCAATCTTGGACTCTTCTAGCCTCCAGAACAGAGAGAAAATAGGTTGTTTAAGCCATTCAGTTTGGGTATTTTGTTAGGGCAGACCTAGCAGACTAATACAGGAGTGTTATGGACTCAATGTTTACGTCCCCTAAAATTCACATGTTGAATGGTGGGGCCCTCCTGATGGAATTGGTGCTCTTCTAAAAAGAGACACTAGAGAGCTTGCTCTTTTGTCTCTTTCTTCCATGTGAGAACCAGCAAGAAGGTGGCTGTAAGCCAAGAAGAGAGCCTTGCCTAGAACCTGACCATGCTGGCACCCTAATCTCACACTTCCAGCCTCCAGAACACCGAAAAAATAATTTCTGTTGTTTAAGCCACCTAGTGTATGGTATTTCGTTATGGCAGCCTGAGCAGACTAATAAAGGAGATTATTTGTATAGACTGTGGTTAGCTATACAAAGAAGCACTATGCAGTTGCAAAAAGGAATAAGAAATATTTTTATATTCTGCTATAGAGTAATCCCCAACGTTTTTGTTAAGTGAAAGAAGCAAAACAGAGAACAGTGTATACAGTAAGCAATTTTTCTAAAACAAACAGGTAAGGGGCCGGCCTGGTGGCGCACTCGGTAGAGTGCGGTGCTTGGGAGCGTGGTGGCGCTCCCGCCGAGGGTTCGGATCCCATATAGAGACCGGTCTGCTCACTGGTTGAGCGCGGTGTGGGCGCGACACCAAGGGTTGCGATCCTGTTGCCGGTCGCGGTACGGGCGCGACACCGAGGGTTGCGATCCCATTACCGGTCACGAAAAAAAGACAAAAAGGAAAAAAAAAAAAGTAAACAGGTAAAAACAAACACATTAAAGTATTTGCTTATATTAAAAAATTAACGGCGGAAGAATAAACCAAAAACTAATAAAAATTGTTACCTAAAGAGTAAAGGAGAAAATGGGGTGAAGGGAACAGGGATGGAAGTAGACTTCTCTGAATACTCCCTGACTTATAGTTTTTTAAAAAAATACTATTTATTGTAAGCATATTATTATTACAAATCATGATTTTTCTTTGTGCCCTTTTCCCAACCTATCCCTCTGCAAACCGCCCCCCCCCTCCACCTCATCACCATCTCTAGTATTCTGAAAGTTCAAGGAATTGTTTATCTTTCTTCTTTTTTTTTAGCACCCAGTCATAAGTGAGAACATGCGGTATTTCACTTTCCTTGTCTGGCTTATTTCACTTAACATAATTTTCTCCAGACTAAACCAAGCTGCTGCAAATGGCAGAATTTCATTCTTTTTTATGGCTGAGTAGTATTCCATTGTGTATATATACCACATTTTCCTTATCTAGTCATCCGTCCATGGACATTTAGGTTGGTTCCATATTTTGGCTATTGTAAATAGAGCTGCAATGAACATGTGAATGTAGGTATGATGATTTCCATTCCTTTGGATATATGCCCAGTAGTGGGATTGCTGTATCATATGGCAGTTCTATCTGTACTTGTTTGAGGAACCTCCACACTGATTTTCCATAATGGCTGTACTAATTTATACTCCCACCAACAGTGTAGAAGAGTTCCCCTGATTTATAGTTTTGACTCTGGCACCATGTAAACTTTATCATTATAAGTGTTAAAAAAAAAAAACCCAAAATATTTTACAACACAATCTCTGAAAACCAAAAGCAAAATAAAACAAATAAACCTATGGTGTTGGTGGCTTGTTCACAAAGAGAGAACTCTTTCAAGTGACTTAAGACAGAGGAATGACTATATATCCCAAGTGGGTTATATACTAAGGAGAAAAAGAACTGTAAAGACAGCTTGAACAGTTTTCAGGTAATCATATTGTTAGTAACAATATTATTATTGTTACACTGAAAGTAATATATATGTGCATAAAACAAATAAGTGATAATGTTAATGTCATAAGGAACCAAAGGTTTCATCTTAAGAAAAAAAGAGATACAAATATAAAATCAAAAAAGTAAAAACTCTGTCATCCTAACTTGGAACTGAAAATAATTATATGACTTGCATTCATATTCTCTCTTAAGAAAAAAATTCACGGAGATTGAAGCTGTTATCAGAAAGCTTCCAACAAAGAAAAGCCCAGGACCAGATGGATTCACAGCAGAATTTTACCAAACATTCAAAGAGGAATTGACACCGATTCTTTACAAACTATTTCAAAAGATTGAAACAGAGGCAATTCTCCCAAACTCATTCTATGAAGCAAACATCATCCTGATACCAAAACCAGGTAAAGATATAACCAAAAAAGAAAACTACAGGCCGATATCCTTGATGAATATAGATGCAAAAATCCTCAATAAAATACTAGCAAACAGAATACAACAACACATACGTAAAATTATTCACCACGATCAAGTGGGATTCATCCCAGGGATGCAAGGTTGGTTTAACATACGCAAATCAATAAATGTTATACACCATATTAATAAAATCAAACACAAGGACCATATGATCATCTGTATAGATGCTGAAAAAGCATTTGATAAAATTCAACACTCATTCATGACAAAGACCCTCTATAAGTTAGGTATAGACGGAAAGTATCTCAACATAATTAAAGCCATATATGATAAAGCCACT